GCAGGCAAATATGAGTATGTGCCCACCGCACAGAGAATAGCTGGGGAAAGTCACAGTCCGCCTCCCGCGGTCTGGCCCCTGAATTCTCACTATTCTGAGAATGAGCAGTGTTTTCCCCTCGAGCTCACTCAACAAAGCTTTCTATCCACTCCCAGCAACGTCACCACGCCCTGAAGGAAGGGCTGGCAGACCGTAACTCATTCATCTGCAGCCTCTGCACTGTCATCTTAGATTGCAATAAAACTTCTTTCTAATATAAAAATAAAAGCAAATTATATTGGTATACCTTCTCCTCACTAGCTGAGCGGGTATGTGGCCTCAGGAAGTGGACACAGCCAGCTTCATGACAGTCTGTGGTACTCCATGCCGGGCTGTGGAACTCCACGGTACCGCGCTTGAGTGAAACACCAACACCGGGTGAGGCGGGGGAATAATACTTTCCAAAGATAAAAATAATTTGGAGGAAAATGAGAAGAAGTTGGTTATCAGCAATGTTCTAGAAAGCGACATTTTTGTAGTTTAGGGTGACTATTGGTGCTTATGAATGAGTATATTTAAAATCAAAACATCTTATTCTTCTGAAACAGAACAAGGTTTCCAGAATTATTTGATAATTACTTTATACACAAAACTTTTAGGGCCTTTTTTGCTTGCTTGTTTTGAATTCAGCGAGGAGAACGGGGATGTAAAGTGAATAAATAAATGAATTAACAAAAAATTCCAGCAAGAAGGGCAGGTTCCAAGAGAAGAGAAACCTAACGTCAGCCTCCCAGACTATCAACATTAATCGCAGACGCCTCTTCCCAGAACGACTCCCTCCAAACTTCTAGCTAGAATGGGGTCTCACTATTTTTGCTCTTGTCAATTGTAGGTTCTAAATTTAAGAGCCGAGTTGGGTGTTTTTCCTTTGAATTCCTTTCAGCTTTGAGAACATGTATATTTAGCTCCATTCAGTTCACTCCTTCGTAGGACGAGGAGCCGAATCCTAAGTCTTAAAATTCTGTGGGTTTTCTTTTCCCAGAACTCATGTTCTTTCAGATCAGAATGATATATATTATATGTATACTATTTCATATTACATAAGAATTAACTTAATAAGAAATCTCCTTCACAGATAGTAATGTTCTTTTGAAAGGAAGAAAAACAAAGGAAAAGCACATTTACGATTTATCGCTCTAAACCCATGAAGAAGCTGGGTTTGATCTCACACATGTTTGACTACACTGCTATTAGGGTCAAAGGTCTTCACTGTCAATAATAGTGATCCAGTATTCTAAAGTTCAGTTAGATGCTTTCAAGTCAACTGTGGTTTTTACACAATAGCTTGAAGTAGTCATAAGTCTTTATAACCAGCTCAGGATCCTTGGAAAAAAAGCCAAAGAATTTGTATGATGCGAGAGGAATTAGGTCTAAACTAGTCAAGCGATCTCTCTCCAAACCAAAACTGTATCAGGGATGTACTATTCATTTTTTCTTGATTATTATTATTATTATTATTATTATTATATTTTTGCCTATTTGAGTTTGGGGAAATCAGAGTTATGTACTTAAAAATTATTACATCTTATTTATAGTTGATTGTAAAGCTGAATTTATGCATAAGTAGCTCATAGCATAAAGTATAAGTTTAAAAACTTACAGTCTTTTGTTGGTATATTTACACATAAGTCTTCTGGGAGTCACCCCGGTAGGCATTATCATAGCTTTAGACCAAATAACACCCCCGCAACCGTAACAAACATGAATTGCAGTTTGGTTTCAGCGCCTACCACCACTGGAAGGAAAAAAGGACTCAATGGCCTATACTGACCGTTTAAAAAAATCTTCACCCAAATTCAAACCCACAACTCATTCTTCAAAAAGCATCTTTTGAATATTTTCCTGTTTCAATAAAAAGCGACTTTAGGTTTCCCAGTACACGGCAAAATCCCAAGTCCTCGATGTCCCTGAACTTTCCCTGAAGCGCCCACCTTTCACCCCTCACTCTAGACGCCTTTTCTCCTCTGCCGGGGGCCTCACCCTTTCAGTCTCAGCTCTGCTCAGACCTCTAGTAGCTTTCTCGACCTGGAATTTAACTAAGTAAATTAATTCATTAGTTTTTTATCTATTTATTTTTATTAGTCGTGCTAAGACAGGATCCGAGGCCTTATGCAGAGTAAGCAGGCGCCCCAGCTCTCGGCTCCGCGCCTAGCCCTGGTCCTCTGCTGTCTAATTCGTGTCTATTTGCCCTGCTTCCCTGGCTCCGTCTCTCTTTCTGGAATAAGCAGCAGGCCCGGTTCCTGGCGCTGGCTCTTCCTAGAACGCTCCCTATGTACCGTCAGGCGGCCACCATTCTCCCTTACTCTGTGCGACTGTACCAGAACACCACAGACAATGGAAACAGAACAAAAGCTGACCTCCCACTGTCTTGACTTCATGTGGCTTTGGAGGCTGGGGTATTCACCATAAAGGAGCTAGAAGGTTCACTGGTGGACATTAATGATCCCACCTTCACTCGGGGTGTGGTGGCGGGGGTATGTGAAAGCTGTGCATTCGCATGGCAGACAAGGAATGCAAAGGGGTGAATGAAGCTTGATGCCTGAAGTCTTCCTAAAACTCTTAATATCTATACTCATGAAGATTCTCACATGATCTCTTAGATTCTAAGAGCTCTGCCTTAACACTATCACATGGGACTTTTAGTTGCAGGATGAATTTTGGAGCAACACACACACACATATAAGCCTTATCAAAGCCTTTGCTAAGAAGTCACATTCTCAGTGAGGCCATCCCAGGATTCTCCATGTAAAAATTCAGCCTGGTGTCCTTACTCCCAATGCATGAGATGGCCCCTGAGTTCTTCTGCTTGAGGTACACCCCGTCGCTCTCTGTTTCCTCCATTGGATGGTGAGCCCACAAGATAGGAATATCTTCTGTTTTGTTCACTGAGGCTTCTCCAAAGCCTGCCATACAGTAGGCGCTCAGAACATCAGAATCTTATTCAGACACAATTAAGATAGTCTCTAAATACAATAATAATAAAATTACTGTCCATTTATAAATGTGTTGGCTTATAAACATTTTTTACTTATAAACATGCAAGACATTCACCCAGTCCTAGTTAATAGTTCTGAAATCAATTCTAATTATTTTGCAACATAATGTCCAAACTGAGATATTTATATTTTTTTCTGTTTATTCTACTTTCTGGAACATTTGATAGCAGCTTTCCACCACAAAACATTTTTAGATTAAAATTACCTTAACCCCTGTGGTCATCTGTGGGCCTTGGTGACACACTCAGTGGTGATACTGGGTGGGCCATGCTGATTAGACACTGGAGGCGCTGACAAGCTTTAAATTTCAGCAAATGCCCAGAGACTGAGAAGCCTGAGGAAATCAAGCTTTCCCGAAGGTGAAGGCCACCAGGTAAGTTGTCTCTCACTGTTGCTCGGGGAGAATTGCTTCCATCATAAGTGCTTGCTTAAGCTTTCGGTAGCCTCTCTGGTTAGGATATTGAAAACAAGTGCAGACTGTATAATTGCCTAAATTCAATATGCTTTGTTCAATATGGCAGGTAGAGTGCTACCACACTCTAGAGACCATTAATTAAACTCCATGCTTGAATCAGCCTGTGAGCTGACTCTCAGGATGATCAAGACCCATGACACATGGGGCTAAAGCACTTTGCAACCAGTTACAGAAGAAGCCGGCCATTGCTTTGTGTTTGCAAACACTGTCTCTGCGGTGCAGTTACCAACACTGAGCTACCTGATAAATGATGTAGAAGGTCCTTATCTGCAGCACGTAGAAACCAAAATTATAGCTTCAATATAGATTCATATCTTTAGGATCATATTATTAGAAGATTATAACCTACAATTTTACAATATATCTTTCTTACGTTATCTGCAGAGTAAAAGTTTTACTATGAAATGTTCAAAGACTGTAAGAACATTTAAGTAACTTTCCTCCTTAAAACTATTTCCATTCAACAAATCAGATAATTATTTTCATATTGGTTGTTCTATGTTTACGTGTCAGTAAAATATTTAATGTTCATGAAGACCAACAGACTGCTGCCTGGAGCTGTATTGATAGTTTTCCAGTGTGATGGCTGAGTTAGCTGAGCTCACTAGATTCGAGCAATACGTTTGCCACACTCTGCACATGGACTTTAATCCATAACTGAATGTAGCATTCCAAGGATTAGTGTATTGAACTTTATATAAAATGGGGTCATCTTCAGGTGACTGCATGTTGTTTTTATTTAATAAGACGGAAGAATAGAAACCTACCTGAGGTGCCATGGAGTGTCGCCTGGGGGTACTGGTGCCGAAGCTGCTTTGCCACAACACCAAACCCAGTTCTGCTCATTAATATTCATGAGTTATGGGATGTACTATGTGACTTTTCTGACTCTGTTTCCTAATCTATAAACCAGCTGTATAGCCATCTTACTCATTAGGCTGTTGTGGGACTCAAATAGACAAATACGTGTAAAATTCATAGAATGGTGCTCAGTTTGTTTTAATATTTAGTAAATGCTTTCAGTTACAGAAAAAAATTGCTCCAGCAGTTTCTTTTTCTGGCCCACGCATAGTGACTAACTCAGACATATAGCTAGTGACTATGAAGATGTACGCTGGAGTGCTAGCCTGGATTGATGAGATTGGTAAGATTCCATTCCTCACCTTTGTATCTGCCGTCTTGACACACCTGACAATTCAGGTGTGATCTGGTATGTTACCTTACTGTAACTTCCAATTATACAAGCATTTAATAATATTTTCCTAAGGGAAAATGTCAGGTTACTGGTAGAGCAAAAAAAAAAAAAAATTATATGTCTATAAAATTAGTTTCTACTAATTGATTATTAGATTAATTACAGTCAATGATTTTTATTTTTGCATGAGAATAATCAGACATGAAAAACAGATTAAAATATTAACCCTTGACTATGAACTAATTGTGCAAACTACATATATTTATGTGGATTCTAATTTTACAAAAACGTAATTAAGTGAGATGTAATTCTGTATACTAAAAGGAGATGAACGGACGTGGGAAGGATGTTTGCTCACAGATTCCTGTTCCCCTTTCAGAGAGCCGTTGAAGATGCAGGCTCTGTCCGTGGGACTGCTCCTCTTCAGCTTCACCTGGGGAGCACCAGTAAGTGTTCACTCGCGTGTCACAACGTCTCCCTCTCGCTAGAGTTCTCAAGCTTGTTAAAGGGTGGAGCGTGGCGCACTAAGCTCAGAAGGCTGCCACTGCGTACAAACTATAGGATACCTCTATGTTGCCTCCTCAGGAATCTTTGAGGAAACCAGTAGCCAGTCAGAGCGTTCCAAGTCAGCCGAGATTAGCGAGTTATGCTCAAAGACTAGAACCACAAAGAATCAGAAGAACCTTGTAAGGCTTTACCAGAACCTTGCAGAATTTGATGTGTGCCCGGCTGACTAAATACACAGATAGCACTGTGAGGGGCTAGAATGTCTGTGTTCTGGCAGCGTCTTGGCATAGGGAGAGCCTGTCAAAGATGCTCCTTCTTTGGTGAGGCTGAACTGGAATTGACGCCCGTGAACTTAACCTAAACGAAGCTCCCACTGCCTCTTCTGTCTTCTCTTCTTCCGACTCGCCTGGATGAACACTCAGGATGTGATCCAGTTATCTTGGGTCCACGCTGAACACTGCAGATGTTTTCTGCGATTCAGACAGACACCAGGCTAATTAGATAACATCTTACCGAACATCCTAGCTCTCAGAGTGACCTTCCGGTTGGGGAACTCAGGAGACAGGTGCTCATTCCATGCTGACCACACTTAAATATAGGCCCTGAGCCAGTGGGTGAGCAGCTGGGTAACCGACAGGGCTGAACCTTGCCATCTGGTGAAGGAGCAGAAATGAGGGACTCACACCAGCCGCTTCACACACAATGCTTAAACAGTGCTCGGGGCTGTGCGGAGCGAGCCTGGTCCCACCTGACGCACACGAGGTCAGTCAGGACCATCAGGCATGCGCTGAAGGAAGGTGCCGGCTGAGTGGGTCTTGGTGACCTACCAGCCGAACGAGAATGAGTTATTTGGAACAGCAAGCTCCAGGGAACAGCCAGTGTCCTTTCTAACCAGCTTCCAGTAAAGGGCCAGGCCAGTGACCACCAGTCAAGGGGCTGCCAGCTTCCCTCCTAGGGGCAGGCGATGTCACCTCCATTCCAGAGCCACAGTCAAGTCCAGGGCAACTGCCAAGAGATGTCAGAGGAGCAAGGAGGGCTCATCAGGGGAACAGGGACAACACTGGGTACCGAGAAGTGTAGGGATTTCTCACAGGTACATTCCCTTCTAACAATTACCACTATTAGGTAACAGTAAATTGTTGGATAAATATGAGCGTATAGAAGTCATGTGCACGTGTCTTATAATTGTAAGCCAAATTCAAACAGTTTTAAAGTGTGAAAAAAATAGAAGGTGAGGTTTGAGCACTGCCATTCAATTACTATCCATCTTATGCAAGTGAGGGAGGCTTTGATCTCAGTCTCGATGCATAAGGAACTGTACCAGGCCAACCTCTGTCAGCAAGAGCACATTTAACACAAACATAAATGTGCATGTAAGTATGCGTGTGTGCTCTGTTAGAAGACACTCGAGCTTCCATGCGATCACATCATTATTTTTACACCTACCCATGTTATCTCTACACTCTTCTTCCTACAGCTCATTTTGATAGTAATAAAAAAAAATGGGGTAACAGTTTAGATTCATATTCACAGAATCATGGAAGAACTAACCCAACAAATAGATGTAATAAAGAATAAAATTACAAAACTTATCTTGAAGATTTAATATACACTTCAGGATATTAACAACATTAACAAACATTCTTTCAAGCAATGCTGCTTTGATATTTTTGGTTTTTGTTTTGTTTTGTTTTTTTGCTTCAGTCTTGGGATTCTGAGGCAGAGACTCAGGTTAGCATGCTGCTCGGCTTGTCTGTCACCAGCTGTGTCTGTGTGGATGCTCTCTTTTCTACTGCTCATCTCACATGGTTCTTAGGCAAAAGTCCTTTGCAAACTGTGAAGCTCTCTGCAAATATACTGTGTCCTAAAACTGTAAGATGTTACTGACAAACCAATTGTGTCTGGAATGGAATAGAATAGCAGACAAATCCTTGGAGTCCAGATAATGGGATACTTTCATCTACCACCTGCGTTGACATTTCTGTGGAGATTTTATCAATTTGAGTAGAGACCCATAAACAGAAACCCATGACTTTGAGTGCTGTTTTGAAAAAGCACCCTCCGTCTGGCCCATGGTTCTCAGCCTTCCCAATGCTCTTAATACAGTTCCTCATGTTGTGGTGACCCCAAACATAAAATTATCTTTGTTGCTTATTAACTGTACATTTGCTACTGTTGCAACTCCTAAAGTAAATAGCTGTGTTTTCCGATGGTCTTAGGCGACCCCTGTGAAGGGTTGAGAGCCACTGCTCTAGGCCGATGGGCCAGGTGGACAAGGTAGTCCCCGGACTGCTTGTCTTTTCTTTGTTTTCTATTCTTCCCCTGGGACTCCCCTCTCTGCTGTGACTGATCCGCCATGGCGCCTGCTTCCACACGCATGGCACCAGCATATCCAACTCATTTATTCCCTCTGCCACATCAGAGATCAGCGAGAACTTTTCAGAGGAAGTAAGAAAACGGAAATACTCAGATCCGAGGAATCGTCACACCATTTTGTACACAGAAGACTTGCCCCAGGATTTTTCGGTCCTGTGTTTTGTGTGATACCTCACGAGGCCTGCCGCGGCTACCTGTGCCTGCTGCTCAGAGTCTGGCCGTTATGCACCTCAGTGAGGTTCAGAAGGAGAGGCTCTTCCACCACACCCTGAACTCCTACCCTGGACACACACTGCCGCTTCCACACTGGTCAGAAAGACTGCCTGATCTGCTGGCCACGTCCACTCTCCCTTGCCAGGGCGAAATGATCTGCCACTAGGCATCACAGGGTAGGGGCACCACTAGACGCAGGCCGGCACCGCCGCGGACGCTTGCGCATCTTCAGCGCGGCACACCACGGCACAGCTGCCGGCTTACACTATCGCCGACACCCTGTACTCTGGCTGACCTCACTCACACTTAGCACCTCGGGCTGTAAATGAAGGCTTCTCTCCCAAGGGTTCCAGTGGCCACCACTCCTAACTGGAGCCCCATACCTGCCTCTTCCGCTCCGTGCCATGGGGACACGCCTCCATGCCGGAAACCGATTCTTTAAAAGAGAAGCGTCGCCATCTAGTGGGGAGAAGTTTTTCCTAGCAAATATTTAAGGAAAAGTGGGTCCAGTCTTCTTTCGGTCAGCATGATTTTGCACATTAATACAATCCAGTAAAAGAAAAAGGAAGGGAATGTTTGTTGTTTGAAGAAATGTGCTCTGTTTGGTGAGATTGAAATTCCTGGCAGACACGTCAATCACAGACTGAAAACTAGGCAAAGCTGTGTGGAGGAGCAGAGGGTAAAAGCAATGATTCCTCTCAAATAACTATTCTAGCTCTGTAAAGAGAAAGAAAAAGAAAAACAGCAAGAAAATGTTAACTGCTGAAATGTTCCCGGGTGCTTAGCCAGAAATGCAGTTTTCAGCAGAGTGGTGGCACGCTCTAGTTCATTATAATTCCTACAACAGGTGATGGAAACATCCCAAATATCGATGGCTTATTTTCAGAGTGATTCCATCCTTCAAATGACACAACGGTTTGCCACACAGCTTTCAGGCGGATTCGTAAGAATGCTGGGACGTTGTCACTACCACACGCTGCACGTGAAAGCAAACTAACAAGTAAAGAAAGGAGGGGTGCTCAGCAGCTTTGATAGGGAATTCTAGAAAGGAACTAGTTCATAAGGAGAGGGGGTGAAGCAAATCCTATCAGGTTTGCCAAATTTCAGCTTATTTCGACCATGGATTCTCCTGGCAACCGCACGTCTGTGTTCTGAATCTCAGCTGAAAGTTACGTAGGTCCAAACGGCAAACATAAAAGCGGAGGTTTCATTTGCCAGCATTTGCCAGCTGGACCTTAGCCATGAGTATGGTAAAGCCATCTTTCTTCTGTCACCCTCTCCTTTCTGCTCTGGAAATAGACCCCTATGTTGCAGCTCCACTGACAGATGGTGGTAAGATCGACTCATCGTGAAAGACAGACAGGTGACAGTGACTCGGGAAAAACACATTTCAAGATCAGTCCAAATGAGAGCCTGGTTGGTGGCTGTCTTCTGCGGTGGCCTGTACACGCCATCCTGTGGTTGTGAGAAGTACTACCTTGTACCTCTGCCACTTGTCAGAGGCAGAACTTTACTTCTCCCAAGTTAAAAAATATCCTGCAGCATTAGGAAGGAATCCAGAACCTTCCTTAAGAGACAAAACCCACCTTAATATAATGGAATGGGTTTGTGCGTAATTTTTAAGGGTCACCTTGAAAGACATGCCTACGCTGAATGTGGCATAAAGGTGGGTGGCTTTGAGGAGACCCTGTACGTGCGACAGTCTGGACTAGGGGAGACAAAGCACTGTGCTGTTTCCAGCTGTGGATGCCACCTTCGTTTTCCCTTCCCCACACCCCCCGTGACGTTGCCATGCAATGCAACTCTGTCCCAGAAGCCTCCTCATCCCCATCCACTGCTTTGGCCCAAACCATGTTCTGGTTTAGGATCTTCTTCCACAAGTGTGGCCACGGTAGACCCTGGGGATTGTAATTGTCATTTTGTTGTGCCCCTGCATTTCATGAGGAGGCTTTCTGAACACATTCTAGCATATTCTGGAGCAGGGTAGACTCCCAAGGACAGGCCATCCTGCCTTAAAGACTGACACACGTCTCAGTGTCTTAAACTTCATCCACACCCAGTCACAGTGAAGAGAAAGAATGAAGTCCTTGTCACTCGGATGACAATAATTCTTTTCACTCAATGGTCTCTTGCAGAATTATCGCCCAAAGAACTGCAAAGAGTTTAGAATGCCTCCCACCAAAGGACTGTTTACTTTCCCAAGTCCAGCTTCATTTCCCATGGGAGTAAGAATTCTCCAGTAGAATTTGGTTTTCCTCTGCTAGGCTTCCTTCGTATGGCTGTTTCTAAGGCTGTGCCAATCTGTCTGTTAAAGTTAGTTAATTTTGGTTGTGATTTGACATACACGTTTTTGGTGCCTCCTGTGAGTAAACTATGACACCAGCTGAAACAAACCGAGAAAATGCCACTCTTCCTCTCTCAGAACTTAAAGATAGAACAGAAACACAGAGAACCCAAGACAGGCTGTGGAAAGTGTCATATGAAAGGCATCCCCCCCCCCCCATTACACATCAGCGGCTGGGAATAGGAAGAAATCAGTTCCGGGGTGCTGCTCAGAGAAAGCCACCCAGTGGAAAGTGTGAGCGAGGTTGTGGGGGAGCAATAAGATTGGGGAATACAGAAGGAGTGGGAGAGGCTGCTCTGCAATGAAAGAACGCTGTGAAGCAAGGCACAGAGGGAGAAGGCAGGGCAGCTGACTCACCGGCCATGCAGCCAAGGGCGTCCGGAGAGCACGTCCCTGAGCACATGCAGGACAGGAAACCTTTTGTACTTTAAAATAGTTTCTCAAACAAATGTTCAACTGTCCTGTGGAAAAATTAAAACACAGCCTCATGTTTTTCTATACAAAACCGTTTTGCTCACTCTTCTAATTAAATGCACACCATCATTAGTAAGCTTTATTATGTTATTCTATTATAAAATGATAATAGAAAACTAATAGAAACGCCAAAAATGGAACAAAATTTCCTCTAAGAGTAAGAAGAAAAATGCTAATTTTTTAAATTAAAATTTAATTTATATACTGATTTTTCTAACCCATCTGTTTCGCTAAAAACATCTTAACAGTGAGTAAATGAACATAAATGCCTGAGCCAAGCTTTCTGAAACTCAGTGACTTAAAGTCAAGGATTTAGAATATTTTCTAGCAGACATAAATCAGTACGGATTCTTTTCCTTTGCATTTTTTTCCTCATAACAAATTTCTACCTATTTTCAGAATAAGCTTGGAGCTATAAAAGTAAATCAATTCTAATCATCTCTTACTATTGAGACAAATGGAAATGCTTGGAGGTGTTTGGAGAGGTCAGACTAACAAGTTCTGCCAGAGTGAAGAACCTCCACAGACAGTTCTCTCTCCTACAGTTCCAGTGCGAGCTGAGTCAATAGTGTCACAGCTCCAAACACTTAGCAAGGTACATTTTAAAGCAGGCAGAGGAGCACAGTAATACGGCTCAGAAATGGCCACCAAGCCAGACCACCTAAACTCTCACCAGAACCCACATGGCAGAAGGGGAGTCTGAACTCTCACGATTATTCTCTAACATCCATACATTATCCTATAACATCCATACAGTAACACACGCAGACTCTCCATGTTCTTCAACACACACACACACACAGACAGACACAGACACACACACACAGACACAGACACACACACACACACACACACACACACACATTATTCTTAACAGCAGATCAGGGACATCAAAACCCTATTTCAGACACATCGGAGGCCACAGGCTGCAGAACCCACAGCCACATTCAGAGAAGGAGAAGTTCTATGGGGCCGCCACTACATACACCTCGGTGACGTCTAGAGGCTGGCAGGACAGCTGTGCATCCTCTGAGGAAGTAAGTGTTGCTATCACTATGTAGGGAAGCAAGCTCACATTCCTTTCAGGGATCACAGCCCTGCAGCTGCCATCATTAAATAGAATTTGGTTAAAGAGAGACGTTGTGCTACATGCCTTGCTTGCATTATATCGTTACTTCAGTGAGCCCTGGCGTGAGAGCATGGGAACCATTTGGGGCCTGGAGAGACCACTCAGCGGTCAACAACACTTACTGCTCTCCCAGAGGACCAGGGCTTGTGTTCCTGCACTCACACGCAGCTCACAACCACTGTCACGGACTCCGGTGATCTCTCTGGCCTCTATGTGCATCAGACACACACATGGTACACAGATGCACATACAGGCAAGACACTCACACATAGTAAAAATAATGAGGATAAACTCGTTTGGCCATTTAGTTTGTTATCTCATTTGATGCAGCTCACCACGGCCCTGGCTTGCCTGAATGGCATAGCATCGCTGCCGTCTTCCTCACACATCTTAAGGCTTCTAGCTGGCTCTGCCTTTTCTCTCTACAGGAACTTTCATCTCTATTCGTCTTTCTTTCAGATTTCATCTATGATAATCTTTAATTATAACGACCAAGATGGTAACATGCTCAAGAAAAGCTAGAGCATTAAAGTGTGTCAGTTTATTTTGCCACTTGTGTCTTTTTGAAGTCAACGGAAATAACCAAAGTAGTAAGACCCGGATCTTTCTGTAAATCCACAGGCACTGAACCAAGACGGCAGGACCAGCAACAAAGGCTGCATCCACGGGCACTTAGCAGCCTCCGTGCACCCTGAGCGCATGGCGGGTGAAGGAGCAGAGAGTGGAGAGGAGGCTGTCCTTAACCTGCCCGACCAGGAGAGCTACAGCGCGGCCCTCATAGGAAGAATCACGCAGCAGCCTGTGAAGACCCCGGTGGCTGGGACCAAACTACGGAGGGGTGAGAACAAAGACGAACCCGAGAGTGGCCTAAGCATGACTCCAGCAGACGTCAAGGACGCTAAAGGCCACTTAAAGGATGAAATGAATCGGCAGGGCTATCTGCCATCCCAGGACAGCCCGGGAAAAAGCAAACGTACCCGTCAGTCCCGACGAAGCGCCCACTACCTAACACACCTCCCCCAAATCAGAAAGATCCCCCGTGACTTCGAAGGCAGTGGCTCCCCAGATCTTCAAGTGAGGGGGGATAACGACATCCCTCCTTTCAGTGGTGACGGGCAACATTTCACGCACCTTCCCGGCACAGGAGGTGCTGTTGGGCCCGGTCCGGAAAGCTCAGCTGGTCACACGGGACTCTCTGGCAAAGCTGAGACTGTTAACCCGCACAGGAGCGGACTGAGCTCTAACGAGATCCCAGGGAGAGAAGGCCAGGACAGCAACGCTGCTGCCGCCAGAGACAAAGCTGCCCAGGGCGGAGGGGCCGGCGTGAGCCTCGTGGGCGGCAGCAATGAAATCACAGGCGGTACCAATTTCAGGGAGCTCCCTGGAAAAGAAGGAAACAGAATTGATGCGGGCAGCCAAAACGCTCACCAAGGGAAAGTAGAATTCCACTATCCCAGGGAGCCCTCAAAAGAGGCGGCCAAAGGGGGAGGCAGTGATAACGCGGGGAGCGTCAGTTACAGTGAAATTCCCAAGAGCAGCAAAGGCAGTTCTCGGAAAGATGGAGGAGCATCCAAAAGGAACCAAGTGACCGTGACTGAAAAACAAAGATTTCCAGGAAAAGGCGAAAGCCAGGGCCTGGTTCTTTCTTCTCACTGTCTCGGTAAAGAGGTTAAAAGTGACTCCTCTTACATTTCCAGTAGTGAGGGGGTCATGATAGCAGGCAGCAGAACAGACCGTTATGGACAGAATGATCCTGCCCGGAATAAAGGGGTGTCACCACGGAGAGGCTCCTGGCCTTCAAGAAAGTCCCCTTTCCACAGGCGCCTTAGCACCCGCCATGGAGACAGCAGTGAGTCATCCAGCGGCAGCTCAAGTGAGAGTGATGGCGATTAGTCCCGTCCCCCCCCCCCCCCCGCCAAGTGTAGCCACTCCTCTGCGCCGGTCCTGGAGGAAGGGAGGACCCCCGTGGGAACTGAGCAAGCTCACAAACCTGGTCCCCTCCAGGACACTGCACTGTCTTAACAGTTAGAATAAGAATCCCTGCCCAAAATTCAAATCCTTTTTTTTTAAATAAAAGTATTCATAAGAATTTATATAATAGGTAATATTTGAATAGGAAACACGTTAAAATAGTCTGTAAATGTGTCAAGTGTGTCTGTACGTTGTTTGCTCTTCAGAGGTGAAAATAAATATGCTTTGTCTATGATGGGCTGTAGTTAAAAGCTCCGTAGGGGACTGCTGGCGCTGGGAAGAATTGAGAGGTCACAGGGTCAATCCTCTCCAGCAGAGAGGTAAGGTGCAAGAGCCAAACTCCCTGGACCGGGCTGGGCTCTCCTCGCTCTAATCGAGCTTTCCCATTTCTCGACCGTGTATGTTCTTCCTGTGCATTTACAATGACACAAGCGAGATTTCTGAAACAGATCTCATGTTGATCACTTTTGCTGGTTCTGCCTCGCTCTAGAGGGAGAAGAGGAAGGAGGAAGTGCCAAGGGAGACCTCGGTTCACTTAGACACATAATATCCACTACCGTCCCCAAAGTGTTCTCTGCTCATTTTCTGTCTCCCTCTGTTTAGCACTGATGGTTTTTCAGCTAAAATGGTCTGGAGATAACGTAGCCATCTCCTGCTGAGGAAACTTTTTGTCCCTTGGCAAGAGAAAAGGACCCAGCTGGGTGCTCCTTTCCTCTTTTCTTGTATCTTCTCCTTGGCTTAGCATGAGCAGGCTGTCTGGGTGCGTGGTACCCAAAGTGTGGCCATGAGGGAAAAGCAGCATGAGCACGGAGAGGCCACAGAGCCGGCTACATCAGCTTCCTGTTCCTGAATCCTTGTCTCCGACTCTCCTTACCTCAGGCGTCAGTACAGTACTGAAACTGATGTGCCCTGAATCCATTACTAATATGCTTCTCCGTTCCCAACACTCCCCTAAATGAGGAACATGAGGGGAAGGGAAGAAGGAATGGAAGTCACATAAGCTTGTAGACAGCAGACAGTGTGGCCAGTATGTTTCATGTGGCTTCAGTGTTTTGATTCCTGATACTCTTGCTTTTTTTTTTTGTTTTGTTTTGTTTTGTTTTGTTTCAAAGACAGGGTTTCTCTGTGTAGTCTTGGCTGTCCTGGACTCACTTTGTAGACCAGGCTGGTCTCAAACTCACAGAGATCCACCAGCCTCTGCCTCCCTGAATGCTGGGATTATAGGTGTAAGCCATCACACCTGGCTGACTCCTGCTTTTTTTTTTTTTTTTTAATAAAAAATTAATTTTGAGGGGGAAAAAGCACACTGAAAGCAACTGAGTAGAGAAATGATAACCAAATTTAAACCGTAAGTGAATAAGTTGAAAGCAGTCCAGAATCTTTTGCAACAGCACGGAACCTCTTGAGAGAGCAAAATGTAAACTCTGATTACGTGGAGAAAGCAAATGCCGTCTTAGGTCCTTACAGGCGCGGAATCCAAAGGCCTCTGCCTGTCTGTTTTCTGGGGGCAGTTACACACCTCAGTCCCCCGTTAGAGTGTTTGAGTACCCATGGATACTCCTTCAAAGCTCTGGCCAAGGGTTCTATCTGCTTCGGAAGGGCAAGGAGGAAGGCCTCACAGACAGCGTGCTGCTCTTGAACGCGCACACGGAGGCGCTGGTACAGATCCACAACTACAGAGGCTCGCAGGCCCCTCCCCAGTCACACAGCCACGCTCCCTCTAGCTCACGCTTCAGCTGGCCAACTTCGTTTAAAATAAATATCCACAGGTCTCCAGGACGGACAATGTCAGCCTCTCCTACTTGCTTTTAGAGGGATGTGGAAAGTAGATGCATTCTGCCACCTTGTGCCCAAAAGGGAAAATTGCCGGTTCCCAGCCCCGGGAGCACTAGTGTCGGTCGCGATAAAGCCTGCGGGCAGTGCACGCCACTGGCCTGGGTTTCTCCAGCCAATCACAGCAGACTATCTGATCCTCCAGCCAATCACAGCAGACCGCCTACTGCTCAACCCTACTACCTACCCCTGCTTAGCTTCTTAGGCTTAAATAAAACCCACAAAATGACCGAGTTTACCAAAATTCTGTGAAGATCAAAAGAGAACAGGCACCCCTGGGCTTTGCTGAATGGATAACGGAAGAGAAAGGCGATCAAGAATAAGGCAGGAGACAGGGGGATGGCTTGGCTGGCCAGTGCCTACCATACAAGCTTTGGGTCACCTCAGCGACGGGCGGAGTCAGAACAAGTGAACCCCCAGAGCTCATTGGCCGGCCAGCCTAGATTATTGACAAGCTCCACGTTCAGTGGGAGACTTCGTCTCAAAGGTAGAAGATGGAGAACAGCTGAGGAAGGCATCCGAAGTTAACCTCTGGCCTACTCGCACACAGCCACGTGATGCACAGCCTCACTAATACATGCAAACCCTCCACAATCAGGAACAAGTGCATATGTCACACAGATGTGCACACACACACACACACACACACACACACATAATACACACACACACAGGATAAGTCAGGGGTGGCTAGTTCAACACTAAAAAGCACGTTTCTTTAAGAATTACGCTTTTAGACAGACCACATTTCTACAGGTAAATAAGAACTTTGCAGTTGGTGCCCTCAGTCGGAGGACCTGGCAGCAGCGGTGATGAGCAGGGGGCTCAAGAGAGCAGGGCACGCGAAGGCTCGCTCCCCTTAGACACACGGGCTCTGGCTAGGAAGGCCAGGAACTGCAAGCAGACGCGGCCACCCAGCGGACAGTACAGCAAAGCATGGGGTCGTTTAGTCTACTGCCCCATATTTAGAAACATGGCTGCTGAGCTTTTTTCTAGGTCAGGCTGCTAATGGATTCGTAACAGAAGTTAAACAGTCTTAGGCTTATTTGCTTAGGACAGTGGGGCAGAGGGAGCCTGGACGCTGTGGCTGGTGTCTTCGATTAAACAAGTGGTCACTCAGACGAGGTGCCTCTGATGGGGGCTGGCCTGGCACCAATCTTGGGATAACTTGTATGATATAACGTCATGGATAGGGGCTCTGTTGTTTTCATTTGTGACAGGTTTCTTAAATGACTGTGACTATATTCCAATGATTGGATTTCAAAGCGAAATCAGTCTTTGGTGTTTTTTTCCAGTGACTACCAAATTACTTCTCTGGGCCTCCCGTAAGACCACGAGCAGCCCAGATTTCTTACTAACCTGGTACTGTGGCCTGAAAAGAGCTCATCTTTATGGATACCTCACATCAACAAATAATAAAAGAGAATCAGAGGTGGAGGTCAGGACGGCCCTCGTCGGGCTCTTGGGCACCAGACATTGTTGGAAGTGTACCTGTGTTCTTAGTTCACAGTTCTGTGCAAGAAGACCTGTTGGTCAGGAAGCAGTGACGTGCTTGCTGGTCACGCACTGAATGGTCGCTCAGACAGGATATCCCAAATTGCTCAGCACCACACATCTCTAGAAGCCAAGAAGATACCAAGGTGGCACCCACTAGTGTAAAAGAGTCATGTGTGCAGATGGCAGTGGCATCTCCTGCTTCACATGGCTCAAAGCTCTGCGTGCTGACAAGATCTGGTTACTGCGAGCAGGACGTTTAGTCAGTAGATTCTTTAAGTAATGGTCCTTGAATATGTGGGCTTCTCACCAAGTTGGCCTTGGTCCTTGGTTAGTGACAAAGAGTGGTCAACAAGAGTCCAGATTATCCAAACCTCGGGGCCCGTCTCAGGCCTGGGCCCCAGTCACCACCAGGCTTCCAAAGAAGCAACAGGCAGAATGAAGATAGAATATACCTATGTGAAAGGTCCCTTGGTCCGCAAGCACACATACAACCAATGGAAAAGAGCCCCTTTCTAACTCTCGGACAAGGCTTTCTCAGAGCCCCAAGTGAATGAAGGGACTTTGCTATTTCATCATATTCTTGCTTGTTAAGCCATGATTTACTAAAAATCTAGGAAAATAAGCATTTGATCTGTTGACATGTATTTATGTTATTAAATAATATTTCTGACCATAAAAGTAAAATTATGAAAGTAAATACATAAAAACAGTAAAATAAATAGAATAAAAAGGTAAATGAATGTCGACTGAAATAAAACTTAAAAAGTAAATATACAAAAAGTAAAATTGGAAAAACAAAGAATGCAAAGGAAAATTATATTATCACATGCTTTCTGGTCCTTTGTCTAAGTAATTACTTACATGTGTTGTAAGAAAACGGTATCAGACTTTCCATTCGATTTAGCATCCTCTTATCTTACTTTATTATAGAATATGCTCTATGCTAATGACTTTTCCAACTACAGGCTAATGCTTATTAAGGAAAGCCAAACTATAGTGTACATCCAGTAATTTAAGTGTGCCCTGGTTTATGGTACTTTCAGCTTACGGTGTAAGGCTTATTTGTATGCAAGCCCTCATCACTCATGGACCATCTGAACTGCATGAATCTACTTTCACGATACTCCCTGCCTCTTCCTCGGGCCCCAAACCTTGGTGGCCGACTCAGTCCAGGTAAATAACCTGAAGCTCTCTAGTTATAAACAAAACAAAACACTCCAAGCCTTGTGCTCCCACACAAAGCTTCCGATTTTGTTGTTGTTGCTGTTGCCCTGGGAATCTATAATTCAGGACAGTGTCCAGGGGATGGCAGTGTACAGGCTGTCCTAAGAACGCCTGTCCCTCAAGAGGCCCAACGCTGTCACCAGGAAAGCAGTCACTAGGTGGCAAACTCACTTCTTAGGAAGTATTTTGAAATAAGCCGAGCGTGTCATTCTCATTTACAACTAAATTTGGACTACTGTCTCACTATTGATAATTAGTTTTTAAAAGCTGAAATGTACTCATTCCCATAAGACGGATTCTGGATCTCTCCGGCGTCCTTGACAGCCTGACACTCTTTATCCAAGGGTGGGACCCGTGTTCCCCCTTCC